AAGAAAACCGTAAAAAGTGGGATAATAAATCGATAAAACTTATGTTTTTAGGTTATGAGAATACAAGCAAAAATTTTAGATTATGGGATTGGAAAACTAGAAAAATAAGAATTTCTAAAGATGTCACATTCGATGAGGTAGCTACTCCACATTCAGATAGAGAATCTACCAAACCAAAAGAAATAATATTTCAGATTAACAGCGCTCCGGATGAATCACCAGTTGCGACAGCAAACATTCCAGTGCAGGAAATGCCGCCAGTTTCCGATATCAGTTCGCATCCAATGATGACTCGCTCTAAGGTTTCGAATAGCAAATGTAACTTTGCGCTCGCTGATGAGCCCAGTAGCTATGTGGATGCAATGGCGAGTTCAGATTCAGAAAGATGGAAATTAGCCATGGATGAAGAGATTGATGCATTAAATAAAAATAAAACATGGACTTTAGAACGTTTGGCAGATGGTCATAAACCTTTCGGTTGTAAATGGGTTTATAAAATTAAAACGGAGTCCGATGGTACAATTCAACGGTTCAAAGCCAGATTAGTTGCAAAAGGCTATTCTCAAATCAAAAATGTTGACTATTTCGATACATTTAGCCCAGTAGTCAGATATGATTCGTTACGCATTCTTTTATCACACGCTGCTTCTGAAAGGATGTTTCTTAAGCAATTCGATGTAAAGACAGCTTTTCTCAATGGCGAATTAGAGGAACTTGTTTATCTTGAACAACCAGAAGGTTACAAGAGAGATGATAATCGCTGCTATAGATTACATAAAAGTCTGTATGGTCTTAAACAATCTTCTAGAAATTGGAATAAGAAATTTACCAATTTTTTGTATAGCCATAATTTCAAAACATCAGACGCCGACCCGTGCATTTTCATTGGAACACACAATGATTCAAATGTTATCTTAGCTCTCTATGTTGATGATGGAATTATTCTATCTAAAGATAAAGAGGCAATAGCTATTATAATGGATGAGTTAGAACACGCATTTGATATTACATCTGGAAGTGTTAACTTTTTTGTTGGGCTACAAATAGAGCAGTCAGAAGATAGGGCAAGTATTTTCATTCACCAGTCATCATATATTGACAAAATTTTGAGTAAATTTAATATGGCTGACTGTATTCCTGCTTCGGTGCCTATGGATCCTTCTGTCATCTTAACAAAGCAGGACTGTCCTACTCCAGAACAAAAGGAAAAGATGCCTAAATTCCCTTTTCGAGAAGCTGTTGGATCCCTTATGTTTGCATCACGTGTTTCACGTCCAGATATCACTTATGCAGTTTCACAAGTGAGTAAATTCCTAGAATATCCAGGACCTGCACATTGTACAACAGTGAAGAATATTTTCCGTTATCTGAAAGGCACTCCACACATGGGAATTCTCTTCACTGGACAAGACCAACTTGTTGGCTACTCTGACAGTGATTTTGCTCGTGATGTTGACTCCAGAAAAAGTACGACTGGTTATGCCTTCATGATGAACGGAGGAACTGTTTCTTGGGCAAGCCAACGACAACCAATTATCGCACTTTCAACCACCGAAAGTGAATACATCGCTGCCTGCATTGCTGCTAAGGAATTGATTTGGATCAGAAGACTTCTACAGGGCATCGGCTGTGATATTACTAAAGAAACTGAACTTTATATCGACAACCAAGCAGCAATAAAACTTGTTGAAAATCCAGTATTCCACAAACGAACGAAACACATTGATGTTCGCTACCACTTCATTAGATCCAAACATGAAGAAGGTGAACTTAAAGTGCATCATGTTTGCAGCTCAGAACAGCTAGCTGATATAATGACTAAACCTCTTCCACGAAACAAATTCCACTACTTAAGAGGTCTACTGAACATTTTGGATCGAGAGGGAGTGTTGGAATAAGCGATCCAAAGATTGGCGTGGTGCCAATGGCGTGGGGGATCCACCAATCAACGGCCGTGGCGGCGCTGCGATCGACGTCACTACTTACTTGCCTTTAAAATGTTGTTACTCTAACATCTTGTTTTAAGTTACTTTGTTTAATAAATAATCCTTTTATTCCTTGATTCAATCTCAAACTTCAACACCTATCAATACCTTTTTCGAAGGTTCAAAAAGTACCTGATTTTGCCCATTAAGCTCTTCACTCATAACATTTATTAGTTTGGTAGATTCGGCTGGGATTACGACGCTTCTGCTAGCCACAACCTTCCCCATAGAAGCAGGTGAATTTAGTACATCTTTGGCCTTTTCCAATCTGATTTCGGCGCGTCCACAATCAATCACGGCATTTGATGCCTCTAGGAAATCCCATCCGAGGATAATACTTGGGTTACTATTAGGGAGGACGATAAACTCAAGCGGCTGTTCCAATCCATTGATGCTCAAGCTGATTGTGCATCGGCCGATCGATGTAACATTCTTGCCATCAGCAACTTTCAGAGTCATTCCGCTATCCTTGAACATGGTCTTTTTTAATTGTCGTTTTAATCCATCAGAGATAACTGAAAAAGAGGAACCTGAATCGACCAGAGCAGAAAATGCAATGTCATCAATGATGATTTCGACATAATTTTGTTGTAATTTAGCGGCTGTCGACGATGGAGGGTTTTTCACACCCGCGGCTTCCCCCTCGAAAGAAGACGCGACGCTTAGTTTTTTTTCTAGATTGTAGCGGCGTGGGGATTGGCTTGTATGGCGGCCTGGGGAAATGGACTGGCGTCTTGGGGATCTTCCTCTGTTTGGATACGGCGATTGTCTGCGGTAGATTTGGCTTCTTATGGCTTGGTGGTTACCAATTTGAGGTTCTTGGGTGCTTGGTGCGTGTCCTTCGGGTCTCTGCATCCATTGTCGTCTTTCTCTACAATATCGCTTAACATGGCCTGGGCGGCCGCAATTAAAACATATTGGGATGTTGTCATGCGTCCTCCATTCATCCGTTCTTCGTTGTGGTGGCGTCTGGTTATATATGGGTGTTTGGGTAGGGTACTGACGTCGTGGAACCTGGCTGAATGTACGTGTTTGGTTGGGGTACGACTGTCGTGGCGGAGGCCTTTGAATAGGCTTCGAAATTGAAGCTACGTTTTTTTCAATCTCTTCTCGGATAATTTCTTTCAGAGAAGATGGATCAGGGGTAGTTGACTCGGGATTTAGTGCGCGATGAACTTCTTCACGCACGATGCGTCGGATTAAGTCTTCCATTGATTCAGAGTCTGCTGAATCGATGGCGGCAACATTCGGTAGTCTGTCGAATACTACACGTTTATTTACACGTTTTTTATTTGAAGCCTCGATTTTTCGGCACCATTTGATGAACTCATCGATACTTGCAATGTCTAAAATGATGATTGACTGATATATCTCCTCCGATATTCGTTTCCTCAAGTGTGCAACTATTTCATTTTCCATCATAGCCGGATTCACTTCTCTGCACAGATGGAGAACATCTTGAATGTAAGAATCACTGGTCTCCTCCTTCCCCTGAGCTCGAGTTTTGAGGTTCTCTGCGAGTTGATCTTTTTGGGTGACATGATGTCCGAAATTCTGAGAAAACATTTTCACAAAAATATCCCATGAATTAATTTTCTCTTCAACATTTTCGTACCATCTGTGCGCTGTTCCTTGGAGGAAAAAATAAACATTTGCGAGGCACATTGAATCATCCCAGCAGTTGTAGCGAGCGACGCGATGGAATTCTTTCAGCCATTTTTCTGGATTCTGGTTGCGTTCTCCAGTAAAAATAGAAGGGTTTCTAAAAGGTTGAAAATGGTACTCACCCATTTTTTTCTGTCTCTTGCTTGATCATAGCGATGTTTTCTTGAGGTTCTAGTCCTTGTAGTCTTCGGCTTCTTCTAACGGCTTGGGCGGCGAGGGAATATTCCAGCTTCTCCACCAGTTGTCACGGTAGTGATAACGAGTATAACAAAAGTTTAAGTAAAAATAATTTATTTATAAAATGCAAACTATTGCTAAGAATTTATTTTCAAGTAATAATATACAAGAATGGTAAGGGGTGATGACCTTGCAAATATTAATGATGATATACCACAGAATATTTAAAATAATTATTCAGTGATAATATTATATTTACTCTTCATTGTTGGCTTTTTATCTTACACTTATTCTTCATTGTTGGCTTTTTATATTACATTTACTCTTCATTGTTGGCTTTTTATCTTACATTTATTCTTCATTGTTGGCTTTTTATATTATTTTTACTCATCATTGTTGGCTTTTTATCTTACATTTATTCTTCATTGTTGGCTTTTTATATCATATTTACTCTTCATTGTTGGCTTTTTATCTTACATTCATTCTTCATTGTTGGCTTTTTATATTATATTTACTCTTCATTGTTGGCTTTTTATCTTACATTTATTCTTCATTGTTGGCTTTTTATATTATATTTACTCATCATTGTTGGCTTTTTATCTTACATTTATTCTTCATTGTTGGCTTTTTATATTACATTTACTCTTTATTGTTGGCTTTTTATCTTACATTCATTTTTCATTGTTGGCTTTTTATATCATATTTACTCTTCATTGTTGGCTTTTTATCTACATTCATTCTTCATTGTTGGCTTTTTATATTATACTAATGATGATGCGCGCGCATCCGTGACATGAGGAATTGAGGAATTGATTGACAGTGGAAAGACGGTCGTGACTATATATGTTGATAATAATAATAATAATAATATAATAATAATTATTATTATTATCATTAGATAATGATGATGATCATAATGATGATGCGCGGGCATCCGTGACAGAACCGGCCGGCCGGCCCATGACGGTCGTGACTATATATGTTGACTAGACGAATGGCCCGGGCAACGCCCGGGTTTTACCCGAGTGAGTATATATTTTAAAAATGTTTCAATTAAAATACTATTCGTTACAATTATAAATTGGCGCCGTGGATGTCTCTCTTGTGAAACGTCCCGCCCCAAACTGTGTGTGTCTTGAAAATATAAAAATAAAAATGTGAACGGAAAAATATGTCCAGGGTAGCCTAGTGGTCATGGCATCTGCCCGGTAAGCGGAAGGTCGTGGGTTCGATTCCCATCCCTTGACCCTTTTTTTATTTTATCCATTCTGACCAAAATCTATCCGTGAACTTCACACAGTGAACTTCACACAGAGAGAATAAGGCAATTTTATAAGTAGATAATCCAAATTGTGCCTTATCGCACACTATTTTTTTATTTGGCCTTATTACCTTGTGTTTATAATCTATGACGTAATGCCGGCGGCGCGCTTGTTGGCTGCCGGCGAGCATGTGACCTCCCTGTGCGCGCGCATCCGTTACAGAACCGGCCCATGACGGTCGTGACTATATATATATGGATATATGTTGATAATAATAATATAATAATAATGATCATAATGATGATGCGTGTGCATCCGTGAAAGAACCGGCCGGCCGGCCCATGACGGTCGTGACTATATATGTTGATGATGGATAATAATAATAATATAATAATAATTATTATTATTATTATTATCATTAGATAATGATAATGATCATAATGATGATGCGCGCGCATCCATGACATGAGGAATTGAGGAATTGTTGAGGAAAGACGGTCGTGACTATATATGTTGATATTATAATTCACGTCTTAATGTTTTCATTTGTTATTTCATTTACATAAATACCATTTCTAAGATACCACCCTTCAGTGTAACATATATAAACAGAATGATCCAATACAGTATTAGAGATCTAAAGAAGCGGTCTGGTTGATTAACTTGGTGAAACCCGCTGGGAGAGTTCACCACTGATGAACCAAACCCTCCTAATATTTTTTCATCGCAGTAAGGACTGTAGAAGTTTGATTTATTTGTGAAAAGAAACTTTCGCGTCTTGATGTTTTCATTTAATATTTATTAAATTGTTAAAGACACAAATTAGCTTGCATGAAAGTATTTTTATTCTTTTTTTTTTCAGGTAATATATTTTATTATATATTTATATAATTTCTCAATTTTTGCTAACTCCTTTTTTGTTTGCCTTTCAGGTTCATTAACAAAATATTGTAAATATTTTAAAATGTGCCTTTATATAATCATAAAAAGGAAGGATAATGAAAAATACAGAAGATGAACAAACGCGGATAAACTATGTATACCAAGTGTAATAAATAAAGATTAATAAAATAAATTGTCTCTATATATATTATACTAGCCGAATGACCCGGGCAACGCCCGTGTTTTACCCGATTGAATGTTTTTATTCAAATACTATTTGTTACAATTATAAATTGGCGCCTTAAATAAATGCATATCCTAATCCTAATCAATCAGTCATAGGCCGCCTCTGTCACGGATGGCCGGCGCCCTTCTATTGGACGGCTACGATCACGTGTCATCGTTGGCGCGTAGGTGACCTTGAGTGACGTAATGCCCCCCCCCCCCCTGTGGTGACCTCCCTGTGCGCGCGCATCCGTGACAGAGGCGGCCGGCCAATGACTGACTGATCAGGAAAGACTCTCGTGACTATATATATATTATAAGGTAAACTTATTCATACAGTTTGTATCCCTCGATAGCTCAGTTGGCAGAGCGGAGGATTGTAGATGTTACAACAGTGATCCTTGGGTCGCTGGTTCAAATCCGGCTCGAGGGAGTTTTTTTTTTTGTAGATGCGCGCGCATCCGTGACAGAGGCCGATGAGGAGAGACGGTCGCGACATTCCAAGTGACGACCACACGTTAGTTAACACCTCGGGACTTTTAAAACAGTTGGGGATCGTGTGTGACACGATCGGCCGCCCGGCTGTGCCGGTCCCAGCTCTCTCTCTCTCTCTCTCTGGGTGCCTGGGTTCCTCTTTCAAATTGTGATGTGATTATTTGTCTTCCCACCTTAAAATACCTCATATAGATGTCACAATATCGTTGCGGAATTTCTTGTTGTTCGATGAGAATGGTGAGGATTGGTTGAAACGCAGTCGTTTGAGTGGAAAGTGAAGCATACAGTGAGGAATAATCAGGACACGTGATGGGGTTTTGAAAATAAAAGGCAACTGGTTTGGAGGAAAAGAAAAGCTTAGAGAGAAGGCGGAGCGGGTTTTGACTTATTAATTATCTGATCACATGGCGGTGATTGACTTAGCTATGAGATGAGCGGGGAGGTCTCGAGAGCAGATGTTACCTCGTTGGGAGCGAAGGAGCAACTATTCTAGATGCTGTCTCGGTGGGAGCGAAAGCACTACTCACTATCCTAGGTTCTCGATTTAACACCAAGGCCTTTCTTCTTTCCCATTGGTAGGAAGATGTCACGTGGCCGTTTTTCTATTGGCTGACCTACTTAGGTGTTGTTTCCTAATTGGTAGGAAGATGTCACGTGGCCGTTTTCTATTGGTTGACCTACTTAGGTGTTATCCTCTAATTGGTCCTTGCTGGTTTCTTTGTCGGAAGACATAACCGGCCTTGCCCAGGAAATATTGGTCGTTAAACTCAACTTTTATGATTTCCGCGATCATAAAATTGGTTGTAATTTTATTAATAGTTGTTATAACTTTAAGACTCTTTGCTAGGCCTTACTTCTACGCTTTCTGTCCTCCAAACTTTATTCTTTATTAAATCTTTGAAACATACATTGTACATACATATTGGGTCGGGGTTGTATACAGCTCTGTACAAATTATGACAGATGCGCCCCCTACATGTGAAGAATTCAAGAAGGGGTTAGCCTGAGAGAATTCTGTAAAGGGAAAAATAATTTGTGGGAAAATTAGTTGTGGTTATTGAGAGGCTATATACAAGCATTGGTGGTGATATAAGAGGTAAAATAGAATGGTGTGGATGATATAGGTTGAGTATAATTAATAGAAATCAAAAAATTTAATTGTAAGAAATCAAAATGAATGCTATGGTACATAGTGGGATAAAAAGAAAAGAAAATGCGCCTAAACGAGATTCTACTCGAGATTGGGAATGAAATCGAGGGAGTTCTATTAGGGCTTTTGAGAAATCAAAAAATAAAAATAAAAAGTTGGAAGAAATCAAAGTAAATGCTTGGTTGCATGGTGAAAAAAAAATGCTTTGTTGCATGGTGAGAAAAAAGAAAAGTGCTTGTTGCATGGTAAAAAAGAAATGCCTAACTATATTCTACTCGAAATTGGGAATGGAAATCGAGGGATTTTTATTAGGGCTTTTCAGAAATCAAAAAATAAAATAAAAAGTTGGAAGAAATCAAAGTAAATGCTTGGTTGCATGGTGAAAAAAAATGCTTTGTTGCATGGTGAGAAAAAAGAAAAGTGCTTGTTGCATGGTAAAAAAGAAATGCCTAACTATATTCTACTCGAAATTGGGAATGGAAATCGAGGGATTTTTATTAGGGCTTTTGAGAAATCAAAAAATAAAATAAAAAGTTGGAAGAAATCAAAGTAAATGCTTGGTTGCATGGTGAAAAAATGCTTTGTTGCATGGTGAGAAAAAAAAGAAAAGTGCTTGTTGCATGGTAAAAAAGAAATGCCTAACTATATTCTACTCGAAATTGGGAATGGAAATCGAGGGATTTTTATTAGGGCTTTTGAGAAATCAAAAAATAAAATAAAAAGTTGGAAGAAATCAAAGTAAATGCTTGGTTGCAGGGTGAAAAAAAATGCTTTGTTGCATGGTGAGAAAAAAAAGAAAAGTGCTTGTTGCATGGTAAAAAAGAAATGCCTAACTATATTCTACTCGAAATTGGGAATGGAAATCGAGGGATTTTTATTAGGGCTTTTGAGAAATCAAAAAATAAAATAAAAGTTGGAAGAAATCAAAGTGAATGCTTGATGCATGGTAAAAAAAAAGAAAAGAAAAAGGCTTTTTGTAAATCAAAATAAAATTTAATGTCTAATTTTAAAAGAAAACCAGTGAGTTTTCGTTGATTTGAAACTACGATAATATAAACTAAGTGGTAAATAAAATGATAATTAATGATTAAAAGTGATAATAAATTGAATAAATTGCTAAATTGATTAAATCTTTTAATTTTAATTTGAAAAAAAAAATAGTGAAAATGGTTTATATCAACAATAAGGTGTATTGGTTTGAACCTGTTGTGTATCTACATGCCCTGATCTAAATGTTTTAATTGCTCAATTATGCCCTATAAATTTTTTGTCTCATCTGTAGCGACACTTAGGTGGAAACGTGATCCTAGCCCTCAAGTGCGCGTTTATGCTATGTGTACAGGAGACATGGAAATCTATATAACCTTTATGTGTATTTTTGTCTTTGTGTGTATTGTGAAAAATGTTAGAAGTTTTTTGTGTAAGAAATGTGTGAGCGAATTCTATGTGTTGTCGAGATCCTAAGGTCTGTGATATCTACGTGTAGGTGGAATATATGTAATGTTTTTTGGGAGTCTGTAAAGTAATTATGATTAGTTATAATAGGGATGGGAACTCATTTAGAATGTTTGTGTGTGTACCTTGTTTAATTTCTTGTGATAAGGCGATTGGACTACATTTTGCAAAAGTCGGTATGTAGTTCGAATTGGGACCCAAGCTGAACGACATATAGAGAAATCTGTGGATGGGGAAACTCGATGACCTATTTTTATGTGTTGGCCAGAAGAGGGGTCCGAAGTAATTCGAGATCCGGAAACGGGAGCTCACCCTCTATTTGCATTCGGCCCGCTCGACTCTTATTTCCTCGCGGAACTACGTTTTCCTGTCCGCCTAATTGTTTTTGGGTGCGACTCGGATCTGGTTACTGGTGTGGGATTTCTTTCTTTCTCGACATTGGTTTGTTACTTTCAGTTACTTCTATCTCTTCGGAATTTATTTAAATTTTCTGCAACAATGCTTCCTAATATTACAATAAGCTTTACGAATGCTTGTCCAAAATGAAAAACTGCTTCTTGCAGTTCGAAAACTCTAGGGGAGGGCATGGTATAGATAAACAAATAACTAAGAAATAAAACTGGGATATATTTGTAGGGTAGGACTAGCAGACAAAGGATAAAAATCAGATGAAAGATAGGGTATTGACCAATGTTCTTCCATATTGTTGTAAATGGGGACTCTGAAATATTTGTTCAAACCTTATTCATTGTTGGCCGTTCAATTTCGCACTGCTTGCT